TGAATCGTTGGCACTGTTGGGCCCCAGTTGAGGGCACACCATCAATGCCCTGAGCCTCCTGCCTTGTTGCTGCCTGTTTGCTTGCAGTTTCTCCATGGCAAGCAGAGAGAAGAAGGAGCAGGTTATGCTGAGACCGGTGACCCAGGGAGCTTCAAGGCTGAGTGGAAATCTGAACTCTGTTCTCCCTGGTCAAACTCCAACACTAACCACGGCACCATTTGTACACAATTGGGTCCAGAGGGCGAGGCAAGGAGAAAGAAGAGGTGCACGGCAGGTATATCCATTTGGGGCACTAGTCCAGCAACTTCTGGGGACGCAGCTGGTGCTGTGGTCCAAACCACTGAGCCTCCTGGGCTTGCTGATCAGAAGGTTGGCAGTTCGAATCCCTTTGAATCCCATTGCTCTGTTCCAGTTCCCGCCAACCTAGCAGTTTGAAAGCACGCCAGTGCAAGCAGATAAATAGGTACCACTACGGCGGGAAAGTAAACGGCGTTTCCATGCACTTTAGTTTCTGTCACGGTGTTCCGTTGTGCCAGAAGCGGTTTAGTCATGCTGGCCACATGACCCTGAAAGCTGTATGTGGACAAACGCCGGCTCCCTCGGCCTGAAAGCGAGATCAGCGCCACAACCCCATAGTCGCCTTTGACTGGGCTTAACCTTCCAGGGGTCCTTTACCAACTTTTACCTTATCAGCAGCTTTAGCTCACTCTTTTCTGCTCACTTTCCCTCAGCAAGCCCCCACTTGTTTTTTTTTTTGGGGGGGGAGAGTTGTTTTGGAAATATCTCACCCCCACACAAAAAATATGTCTTTGGGCTTTCTGGGGATTTTTTCAACACTTTTCTTTTAAAATCCGCATAGACGCCCTTTTGACAGTGCAATTCCCTGACCTGTCCCAGACATATGGCAGCTTAAGGGTTAATTCTGTTACAGTCACATAGCCAAGAAGAGGATGGGTAGAGGTGTTGCTTAGCAACCAGCATGACCTTTGCTGAGGTAGCACATGCTCTCTGATTGGCTGTGCCGTTCTGAGAAGTTTCCACCTGTATGTTTCGTTGAATGTCACCCTGTACGTTTAAGGCTTTTGCTGTTCTCCTTAAATCATACACTGTTTTTGATCAGTTTCCTCAGTAAAATGTTACCAAGATTTCTTTTCTCTCGGGACTCTCTGGTCTGCATTATTTAAGGAACTTTGCCAACATGCCAGCCATTGGCTCTACCTATCACTGGCTCTGTCTGGCTCCACCTACTTCTTCTCTTTGGCTACTGCCCTACAAGTCCCAATGGGCTTGCCAAGCACAACTGCATTTTGTAGTAGCTTCACATGTAGCAGGAAGCAGCAACTGAACCACAGCTCCCTCCTCTGTGTGTGTGCGTGTGCGATTTGTTCCACAGTTAACACAATAGAAAGCAATTAATATTAGCATTAATATTCTCCCCGCCCCCTGCCTAGTAATGCAAGCTGTCTCCAGGGGGTGGGTGAGTGCTGTTGCTCCTTATTGTGACTCAGCAACCCTCCACCCGCTCTTTGCTGTAAGCCTAACTGGCATTTGAAAGCCGGCTGAGAGCCAAGCCGTCTGCGGGGATTGTTTTGGCTTCAAAAGACCACGCAGAGTCGATGACTTGAAAAAACACAGAGCTCTTCCTTTCATTGAGATTGACAGCAGCCGGGTTGAAGCGCTGTGTGGGGACGCTGAGTCAGCTCACAAGCCTGGAGTCCCACTTGCTCCTACGATTGCTGAGTCAGCTTGCCAGGCTGGGTATCACCAGGTCCCCGCTCGCTTCCCTGAGCAACGAAATATGACAGGCAGGGTTATGGCTGAGCAATTTCACAAGAAAGGAGAGAAATATTTTCTCCTGCCCTCTCTGGCTCCAGCCTATTGACTTCCCTGCTGATCAGGGACCATCTTCCTTTTCTAAGCCCTGCTCCTAGGAAATCAACCACCGCACATCTCTTTGTGTGGGATGCTTTGTTAAAATGCTGTTTAGAGCGAGCGGCTAGATCAAAGTGATTGTGTTCTGGGGCTCAGCGTCTTCACAAGGGTCTTTGCAAAGGTGACTTTTCAGGTGGTGAAAGGTCTGAGCTGCTCCAGACTGATTTTTTATTTTTCACAGGTGTGTTCTGCAACATGCCATTGATGCAGTGATAGTACAATACAGTGGTACCACGGGTTAAGAACTTATTTCGTTCTGGAGGTCCGTTCTTAACTTGAAACTGTTCTTAACCTGAGGTACCACTTCAGCTAATGGGGCCTCCCGCTGCCGCCACACCACCAGAGCACGATTTCTGTTCTCATCCTGGGGCAACGTTCTTAACCCGAGGTACTATTTCTGGGTTAGCGGAATCTGTAACCTGAAGCGTCTGTACCCTGAAGCATCTGTAACCTGAGGTACCACTGTAGTGGCAGATTTATACTGGACATAGTTTGTACATTGGCCATATCCACACCATACACGAAAACAGCAAATGATACCACTTTAAACAGCCATGGCTTCCCGCAAAGAATTATGGGAGGTGTAGTTTGTTCAGGGTGCTGAGAGTAATTAGGAAAACCCTATTCCCCTCACACAGGAACAATTCCCAGAGTTCCTTGGATGTTAGACCACACTGGGAATTGTAGCTCTGTGGAAATGTAGCTCTGGGCATAATGAGTAAAATCAACGGTTTAAAGAAGACATTCTAAACTAAAATTATAGATTAAAATAGGCATCAACTTTATTATACAGTCGTACCTTGGTTCTTGAATGCCTTGTGACTCGAACATTTTGGCTCCCGAACGCTGCAAACCTGGAAGTGAGTTTTTCGGTTTGCGAACATTTTTTGGAAGCCGAACATCCGACGTGGCTTCCGATTGAGTGCAGGAAGTTCCTGCAGCCAATCGGAAGCCGTGCCTTGGTTTTCAAACATTTTCGGAAGTTGAATGGACTTCCAGAACGGATTCCGCTTGAGAACCAAGGTACGACTGTACTGGGTATCCAGTATATTCTGTTCTTGTTTAACCATTATACGTTTATATTCTGGTTACTAATTTTATACAGCCCTTTAAAAAAAATGTGAAAAATACACATCAACTTTACATTGCCTGCCTGAACAGAAAAGTTCTAAGGAGGCACTGAAAAAAATAGAGGGAAGGCACCTGCCTAAAGTCAATGGGTGCAGGAGCTGCCGCACTAAAAGATTGGTCCCTTAAAATTGCAGAATAAATATTATTTGGTACTTGTTTTAAAAGTGCCAGTTCCACAGTTCTAAGTGCCTGAACGGGCAGATGGCTTAATGTTGTTCAGCGCAAAGAAGAACAGAAGACTCAGGAATATACCACTGGACAACATAAAGGAATATTCACGGAGGCCTGTTTATTTTTTATTACAAGCTGGGAATCCCTTTACGATTTCTGAGTCACTCCTGTCGGGCTTTGTGTTCACCAAGACCTGATTTTTGCAAGCGGCAGCAGGGGGCGCTCTTGCCACACGGAGGCCCCAGAACTAAAGCGCATGAGCTGCAGTGCTTGGAGTTCCAGCCTGCCTTATCCCCTGGGGCAGCAGAGCTCCAACTACTGCAGTTGTTAAAAATCCAAACAACAGAATAAATCAAACGCAAACCCCCACATTTATCTACTTTCCACTTGATCTCGGTTCAACCTGTTGAGGACTCTGGTAACGATGTTCTTCCCCAGCACAGGAGGACCATTAAGCTGAATATCTCTCCTGAAAGCAGCCAAGCGCTCCTGCAAGATAAAGCTGTCATGATGGCCGCCACCAGCAGCTTGGAAACCCCAGTGGAGAGGGTGCCATTGTGCCCATGTCTGGCTTGTGGGCTTCCTAGAAGCAATATTATACCACTTTAAACAATCGTGGCTTCCCCTAAAGAATTCTGAGAACTGTACTTTGCTAAGAGACCCCGATTCCCCTCACGCAGCTACAATTTCCACAGTGGTTTACCTATCAATTGCTCTTCCCAAGGAACTCTGGGAATTGTAGCTCTGTGAGGGGAATAAGGGTCTCCTAACAACTCGCAGCTCCTTCGCAAATAGAAGGGGAAGAAATGGAGGCAGTGAGAGATTTTACTTTCTTGGGCTCCGTGATCACTGCAGACGGTGACAGCGGTCACAAATTAAAAGACGCCTGCTTCTTGGGAGAAAAGCGATGACAAACCTAGACAGCATCTTAAAAAGCAGAGACATCACCTTGCCAACAAAGGTCCTTATAGTAAAAACTATGGTTTTCCCAGTAGTGATGTATGGAAGTGAGAGCTGGACCATAAAGAAGGCTGATCGCTGAAGAATTGATGCTTTTGAATTATGGTGCTGGAGAAGACTCTTGAGAGTCCCATGGACTGCAAGAAGATCAAACCTCTCCATTCTTAAGGAAATCAGCCCTGAGTGCTCACTGGAAGGACAGATCCTGAAGCTGAGGCTCCAATACTTTGGCCACCTCATGAGAAGAGAAGACTCCCTGGAAAAGACCCTGATGTTGGGAAAGATGGAGGGCACAAGGAGAAGGGGATGACAGAGGATGAGATGGTTGGACAGTGTTCTCAAAGCTACCAGCATGAGTTTGACCAAACCACGGGAGGCAGTGGAAGACAGGAGTGCCTGGCGTGCTCTGGTCCATGGGGTCACAAAGAGTCAGACACGACTAAACGATGACAACAACAACTCACAGCTTTCTTAGCAAAGAACAGTTCCCAGAATTCTTTGGGGAAAGCCACAATGGTTTAAACTGGTATGATACTGCTTTAAATATGTAACTGCAAAGTTGGCCACCATCTAATGTCCCCCGGAAACAAATCAGAATGCATACTCAGCAAATACCGAACCTCCCTGCAGGCTTTTTTTGGGCAGCAAACGAACAGGGATGAACGTTCCACAGACAGGCTACCTTGAAGCGCCCTCTGATCAGCAGTGGCCCCATTCAAGCACGCAAATAATCACGGACGGCTGAATCAGCCCTTGAGCCATTCCTCCCCACCAGCACTGCAAGTGCAAAAGGTTTAACAGCCAACCTCCAAGATAAGTTCCTTTTGTTCCACTTGGTTGCTGACTGAGCATGCCTCTTCCTCCTTGCCTCCGATTCAGCGAGATCAGGGAGAGAGCACCGAGGTGTCTTCATCAATTTCAGCGTGGCTTCATCTATATTTCAAAAGAGAAAAGTCACTCAGGCAGGGGAGATGGGGAGAGTTTCTGCCTTGAAACAGCAACATCAACAGTGTATTTCCATAACAGCCATTTCAGATATGAAACATACCTCCCCACCATACACTATAGGTAGAGGTAAAGGGACCCCTGACCATTAGGTCCAGTCATGGCCAACTCTGGGGTTGCAGCGCTCATCTCGCTTTATTGGCCGAGGGAGCCGGCGTACAGCTTCTGGGTCATGTGGCCAGCATGATTAAGCTGCTTCTGGCGAACCAGAGCAGCGCACGGAATAGGCGGTACCTATTTATCTGCTTGCACTTTGATGTGCTTTCGAACTGCTAGCTTGGCAGGAGCAATGGGAGCTCACCCCGTCGCGGGGATTCAAACCGCCGACCTTCTGATTGGCAAGTCCTAGGCTCTGTGGTTTAACCCACAGCGCCACCCGCGTCCCCACCATGCACTATACAAAGCAACTAATATAGGAACGTGGTAAATATCTACTGATTCATGTAGCTCCCCTGCACTGGTTGGCAGAATTTCTCTCCAGGATTTCAGACAGGATTCTTTCATAGCCTGACCTGGAGATGCTGCGGATTGAGCAGATGTCCTGGTGCAGAGCCATAGTTTTTCCCGACAGAGAAAACACGTGTCTGAATTTGCATATACCCTACTGTAGATGCAACAAGAGTATTTCAGAACTGTTTGCTCTGGTTGCTAATAAGATATCATCTCCTAAAGCAGCCTGGAGGAGTGTTGTCTAGCAATAAATATAATATGCAGAAAAACAGCACTATTCAGAAGTATGCAAACCCCCCTGAGTAAATCCATAATATAACTTGTGTTTGGTATTCACCTGCTGCTCTTTTCTTTTCCTCCTGTTAAGCGAGTTCTTAAGACTATTTTATTTGAGTGTGTATTTTTTTTATTAAAAAAACCCCAGAGCCTGTGTTTATTATTATTATTAGAATGCCCAGGTGCAGATACCCCCCTCCCCTTCCCACCCCCCAGAAGTCAGACAACACATCAGGTAAAACGCATGACAACATACTTGGGATTAAAATGGCCACAGCTTTCTTAATTTCAGATGTAGGAAAACCTTGGCTTAGGCATTGGGCATGTATCCCTCTCAGCCCCCTTGCTGGGGGCCTGAGGCAAGACAGGGTCAGTCGGTGATATGGGGATACTATCACAGCATTCACACAGCTGGCCCCCAATCTGTTAAGTTGTGGGCAAACATATCAGACGACACGGCGATTCTTCAAACAGCTCTTGTTTATTCAGAGGCCAGAACAGAACTGAACTGAGGGGTTCAGTCAGCCTGCTTATATAGAGCTCCAGTACAACGTAACTGCAACAATTCTCTAAAACTATCCAATCACTGAACGTCACTTTCGATCGCTTATTTGCATAACTATCTACAGTATCCCCCTGCTGGCCCAGGGTGAGAACTTCACTACATAACACAATCCATGTTGCTGAGGGGAGTTCTATGACCCACCACCATATTCTTGTGGTCTGAGACTCCCCTCAATACCCCCTTTAATGGGGTCCCTTGTATCGCCGCCGCAGGAGGGGTACATCACCACACCACCCCTTTTATCGATTGATGGACTAGACTGGATTCCGTCCAAGGCCTAAAACCACCAAAGGTGTGATCATTGCTACGGGGAAGGCAAAACCTGCAGAGCATGGCAAATTCCTTCCTGGCTCTGAAAGACAGCAACCATCATCCAACCGCAGCAACATTCATGGACCTGGAAAGGAGAAGGTTAGCCTGTAAAGAAAGAAACGGTTAGAGGGAGGGCTGGGCGGGTGATGCTCCGAGCTGACTGCACTGCCAGTGTCGGCTCTGACCTGCTTTTCAATCTAAGGAGTGGACCAGAGTGAAGCCTGTGCTTCCACGGTCCACTCCTTTAGCTCAGCCCCTTGGCCCACTACGGATTGGCTGATTCAAATATGGAGATTCAGTGGGAACCCATAGGCCTCTGCCCAGGGATCAAAGCGATGGCCCAACAGCACGGCGTGGTTTCGGGTGGGTGGCGGGGCTGCGTGCTGGGCCGCAAAACGTCGCCCACCGCCGGAGACACGGCGAGCGTCCATTATTAAATTTGTATACCGCCCTTCCCCTGAAGATCTCAGGGAAGCTCACAGCATAAAAATACAAGATTAAAAAAAACACAAAATACATAATGGAAAAGGAACGAAAACAAACCAAAACAATAACCCCCTTCCCTGCTCTCCCGCCTCCCACAAAAACAATTACAGTAAAAGGAAATAGGATGTTAATCTGCCAAAGGCTTGGTTGGTTGAAGAGGAATGTTTTCGCCAGGCACTAAAAGGTATTTAAAGAAGGCACCAGGCGAGTCTCCTGAGGGAGAGCATTCCACAAATGGGGAGCCACTGCAGAAAAATCTTGCGGACCTCTCAAGGAGGAGGCACATGAAGAATTATATATTTAGACATGTCTGCTGATATATAGAGTTTTTTTAATGACATTGTTTGCTGTAATTGTTAGGATCGTTTTTCATTTGTATGGTTCATAAGCCGCCTTAAGTATGATTTATCATTGAAAGGCAGCGTATTGATGCAGAATCGATCAGTCTTTGCTCCAACAGGAAAGCGAACATATCCAAGATTTATTTCTGATACCCCAGACCATGGTTTGAAGAATGGTCTAAATTGGCCCATTAGAAAGCTGTCGTTCCCCCACCCCCCGCAGTCATCGCAGACTCCTGACTCATTATGCATTCATAAATGATATAATTACTGCCTGAAAAATGACTCAGAAATCTGCAATTTCATAACATCAGAACTCGTGGACACTCAATGAAGCTGAATGTTAATAGATTCAGGAACAGATGAAAGGAAGGACTTCATCCATGGAGGAGAGGGCCTTCTAGGGTTACTGGCCATGATGGTTAGGATATCTCTCCACAGTTGGGAGGCAGCAATGAATGCTTTCAAATGCTAGTTGTTGGAAACCACTGGAGGAGAGAGGGCTCTTGTGCTCGGGTCCTGTTTACAGGTTTCCCATAGGCATTTGTTTGTTCCCTGCAAGAACAGGATGCTGGACTAGAGGGGCCATTTGGCTGACCCGGCAGGCTAGTCTCATGTTCTTAAGGACTGGGAGATCTTTCCTTCCTCTGCCTCTGAATACCAGTCAGTGAGGACCACATGAAGGGCAGGCTTTTCATAGGCATCTGATCGGCCACTGTGAGATCAGGATACTGAACTAGGTAGCCCTTTGGTCTCATTGAGGAGGGCGCTTCTTATGCTATACCTGAAGGAGCATCTCCACCCCCATCGTTCAGCATGGATACTGAGGTCCAGCTCTGACGGCCTTCTGGCGGTTCCCTCACTGTGAGGTTACAGGGAACCAGGCAGAGGGTCTTCTCGGTGGTGGCACCTGCCCTATGGAATGCCCTCCCGTCAGATGTCAAGGAAATAAACAACTATCTGACTTTTAGAAGACCTCTGAAAGGCAGCCCTGTTTAGGGAAGTTTTTAATGTTTGATGTTTTATCATGTTTTAATATTCTGTTGGGGGCCACCCAGAGTGGCTGGGGAATGAATGAATGAATGAATAAATTATTGTTGTTGTTGTTGTTGTTGTTGTTGTTGTTGTTGTTGTTGTTGTTGTTACTATTATTACACTCACTGTTTTTCTTTAAAGGTAAAGGGACCCCTGACCATTAGTCCAGTCGTGGCTGACTCTGGGGTTGCGGCGCTCATCTCGCTTTAATGGCCGAGGGAGCCGGCGTACAGCTTCCGGGTCATGTGGTCAGCATGACTAAGCTGCTTCTGGCAAAACCAGAGCAGCGCACGGAAACACCGTTTACCTTCCCACCGGAGCGGTACCCATTTATCTACTTGCACTTTGACATGCTTTCGAACTGCTAGGTGGGCAGGAGCTGGGACCGAGCAATGGGAGCTCACCCCATCGCGGGGATTCGAACCGCTGACCTTCTGATCAGCAAGCCCTAGGCTCTGTGGTTTAACCCACAGCGCCACCCACGTACATAATGTCAATGCAACCTCTGAAGGTCCACACACAAGATACGTGCGGGGAATTGCTTCGAATTTCCTCAAAAGGAAAAGCAAAAACAAAAAACAGGCACGTCCTGCCATTTCCAAGCTGCTCTTTAAGAGAGAACAGATTACACGCTCTCCTTTAAATTTAAGTGGCGTGCACTTCCAATTTCAACGAAAGCGCGGGCCAACCAATAAAAGCAAACTGTTCCTTCTTTTCGCTCCTGGGCACCTTGGTGCATCCGATAAGACGGGGGAGAAATAATTACATGAATTTAATTAGGAACTGAGAAGGAGAGTCCCGGCGATGTGGCGATAGGGGAGGGGGAGGCGGAGGAAGGGAGGAGGGGAAGCTTGAAGAGCTGTTCAAAAGACAGTGGCTGCTGTTCAAAGCCTGAGTCACACAGAGCTGCCCTAAAAGCGTCTCCGCACTTGGCAAAGAAAGAGGGCATCATAATTAGCAGGTTCCTTCAAGCTTTTTCCGAAACCAGAGGGAGGGGAGCCCCTGGCCGAGGAGCTGCGAGCGGCCCTCACGTCCTCTCTATCTGGCCCTCGGAATTCTCCCCAGGCCCTGCCTACAACCCAAATGGGTTTTTGCCTGGCTGCACTGTGTCCTTGAACTGAGGATGCTTCCTGCTCGCCTGGATGGAAGACAGCAAGGTCTGTGAGGTTGTGTGCATAGAAAGTAGCCTACTTAGAACAGTGGTGAAATGTACTCCCTTTTTGCCCCACCCACTTCTGCTTCTGGCCCCTCCCACCAGTGGCATACGACCCCCAGAAAGTTGCCCAGAAGGGAATGACCGCTCCCTGCATAAAATGGGGGGCGCCCTTTGCGTGGACGCGCGCAGCCCCTGGATCTGGAGCGGCTCCATCAGCATAGGCTTGGCCTCGCCTTCCCTCAGGTGGGATACCTGGAGGTCTCTGCCTACCCTAGCCAGTTGTCCAATCCCGCCTAGGGGAAGCGTTGCCAAGGAGACCAGGCCAGGTAGAGGAGGGATTACCTGCCCACACAATAGAGGGAGGATCTTACCTGGGAATCCTCACTTGGCTCCAGAGCTTCTCCCACCTTACCCACCCTCAGTTGATGTCTTATTTTGCAGGTTAACTTTTCTTCACAGGTTTTGCAGGTTAACTTTTCTTCACAGGTATGCGGGCGCTGCTACATTAAGGTCGCTGTTAAAGGGCCAGAAAGGAATTCCCCTGCATTGGCAGGTTTCGCCTTTCCCGTAGCAAAACGCTACAACTTTGGAGGTATCAGGCCTTGGGCGGAATCCTTTAGTCCATCTTCCTCTTTGCAGCGGCGATACCAGGGTTAAAGGGGTTTCTGAAGGGAGGCTTTGACCGGATGCCGAAAGGTTGTCATTGTTCTCTCCTGTGGCGGCGGCGTAACGATGGCGGCTATCTCTGCTTGAACATATGTTCTCCAGAGCCGGCCCATCCCCCACACAAACACTGGATAACCCTGATGCTCCCCAGGTCCCCGGCTGGGGACTGCGGAGGGAGAACGCCCAATGCCTGAGCCAAGGTCTACCCACATTTGAAATTTAATAAAGTTGTAGCCAATTTAATCCCATAGCACGTTGTCTTGAGTTGTTATTCCACATGACGGGGGGGGGGGCTCGGGATCTGGGGGACTCCGCCTGTCCACGCACTTTTCCTCCCTTAGGGACGAAAAAAGCTCTCTGTTCCTCTGAAACAGAGAGCCACTTTTTTGGCTGTGGGCAACATGGAAATCCTGCGTTGAGAAAACTAGCCTTCTGCAAAAAGGTGCACGATTCCCTTCATTTCGCTTAGCTGTCTCTGGATTTTGGGTTGTCGTGGGGAGAGAAGAGGAGCTACCTAGCAGCAGCTAATAAGTACTTGGGCCTTATGGTGAAAGGTGAAGGGGGTTGTTTATACCTGTGGAATGAATTCTGAAGGACGTTAGCAGTTAGAAAAGGATGCTTTCAGGTAGAGGGGGGAAACCAGTGGTTTTCCTGGGCTCCCATGGCAGTGAAATGAAACCACCTTTTCAGGAAGACAGCATAACTTGAGTCAAGGGGTCTACTCTGAGTAAAGCTTAGACAGCTACAACCCATTAATATTATTATCTCATGAGACCAGGGCCCTGCGGGATCTGATTTCTTTCTGCAGGGCCTGCAAGACAGAGCTGTTCTGCCTGGCCTTTGGTTTGGACTCAGTCTGACCCTTATGTTTCCCTCCCCTTATGGTTTTGATCTATGGGCTACTTTTAAAATGAGGCTGCATTTTAAATTGCATTTTAACCTGTATTTTAAATTGTCCCCCCCCCATTATGTTTTTATTGTAATTTTACTGGTGTTAGCTGCCCTTAGCCTGGCTCTGGCTGCGGAGGGCGGGGTATAAATAAAATTTTTTTTATTATTATTATTATTATTATTATTATTATTATTATTATGTAATAACAACAATGCACAACCTGCCCCCCCTTATGATTTTGTCACAAAGCTGTGGCTTTTCTTTCACCTAGCTCATTTTAGCTGTGCTTAAGGTCAGCGTTGATAAAGTCGTTAGCAATCTGCAAAGTAATTATGTGGGGAGGGGTGGGAAAGCAATAAAGCGAAACAGGGGCAGGAGGGTTTTGGGGGGCGGTGAGGAGGAAAAGGCATACCAGATGTCTGGACGGCTCATGTGTTTCAGAGGTGGGAAGACAGGCAGAGACAGAAAGCTCTCCGCATCACATTGTGGAAACCCCCCACCCCACCCCAGAAGCGTGAGAGGCTGGCGAAATAATTGCCCGCCTCGGGTTGTCGGCCGCACGGGGCGACGAAACACCTGAGCCATGTAATTACTTCCCCGGGATGGCAGGCGAGACCGGCTGCTCCTCGCACGCAGGGATCCTTCCTCTCCCAGTGGAAGCTGCCAAGAGGCCACAAGAGCAGCTGCGGAATGGAAGGGTGAAGCTTCTGCTTCTGGTTCCCTACTGGACAGAAGGCAGCAGTGGGGCGGGTGGGTTGGGGGGCAAGCCGACTGGCCTTGCAAACTCTCCTCCAGCCTTTGCATAACTTTCATTTCATTCGAGTCATTCTGAACATATGTTACCGGTAACAGCCTTTCCTCTTCTGAGGGGACGAGGTGTTGTTTTCCAAGGAATGCCTGCACTGTTAAGCTTGCTCACATCATGGCGTTTCGGTCAGAGTACCGGACTAGGGGCCTGGGAGAGCAGGGTTCAAATCCCCACTCCGCCATGAAGGGTGGTGACTTTGAGCCAGTTCTTGCCCGCCCCCTCTGCCTAACCTACCAATCAGGGGTGTTGTTGGGATAGAGAAGTGCAATAAAAGAAACACGGTTTGTATCCAAGCTGATTGCAACTCCCCTTTTCATCGTTTGGTTATGCTTTGCAATAAAAGGTAAAGGTACCCCTGCCTGTACGGGCCAGTCTTGACAGACTCTAGGGTTGTGCGCCCATCTCACTCAAGAGGCCGGGGGCCAGCGCTGTCCGGAGACACTTCCGGGTCACGTGGCCAGCATGACATCGCTGCTCTGGCGAGCCAGAGCCACACACGGAAACGCCGTTTACCTTCCCGCTAGTAAGCGGTCCCTATTTATCTACTTGCACCCGGGGGTGCTTTCAAACTGCTAGGTTGGCAGGCGCTGGGACCGAGCAATGGGAGTGCACCCTGCTTTGCAATGGTCTAATAGAAAAAAGACAGTCATGGAACTGAGAAATTGCACAAAACAAATGAAATACCGTGAAAATCCCTGAAACGAGAAGTAATCGACTAGAAACATTATCTTGTGGAAATCAACTAAATAATAAAAATCAAAAAGCTTAAGGAAAAAATTAGAAAAACCTAAAATAGAACAAAGCCGTAACGGGATGCCGGCTACAAACCTCGTTTCACATAACTATTCAGTTTCCTCAGAAGGAAATAGAAGAATCATAAACTTTAAATGACCAAAATTAAAAAAAGGGTAGAACCCCCCAAAATTCTGAAGTATTATAATCCTAGCTCAACCTAGGTAAAGCCAAGCGCAGTAATAAAGGATTGAGGACTCAAAAGTACAGTTTCTAACCTTTTTCGTAAATTCAGTATTAGAAACTAAATTATTATCCACAAGATAATATTTCTAGTTGATTACTTCTCGTTTCAGGGATTTTCACAGTATTTCATTTGTTTTTTGCAATGGTCTAAGGCAGGGGTCAGCAAACCTTTTCAGCAGGGGGCTGGTTCACTGTCCCTCAGACCTTGTGGGGGGCTGGACTATATTTTGAAGAGGGGAAAAAAAGATGCAAGAGCACCATGAGCCCCGGTGACTGCTTACCTGTGTCTTGTGAGCGGCAGGGGCTGGTGGCAGTGGCGGTGGCAGAGGGACAATGAGCAGTGCGCGAAAGGGCTCTGGAGAGGGGCTGCTTAAAATGGCGGCCGCTGCTGCTGGCACCAACATAGCCCAGCCCCCTTCCTCCTCTAGGCAGGGCAGGGAGAAGCCAGGAGGAGGGAGGGAGGAGGCGTCACCGCCACTGTGTGAGGGAGAGGGACCGAGAGGGGAAAAACGCGCGCACTGGTGATCCATGCGGCGATTCCCGGACCATCTGTGGGCCGGATCCACAAGGCAATTGGGCCTGATTTGGCCGGTGGGCCTTAGTTTGCCTACCCATGGTCTAAGGAGCCAATTGCCAATCTGGTGCCGTCCAGATGCTTTGGATTGCAACTCCAACAACCCTGGTCATCACCTTTTAAAAACATCTGGAGGGCATCAGGTTGGTAAAGGCTGGTCTACAGACAAACTAACCCGCACCTGAAATCTGAATCTACCGGACAGATTTCCACATTGCTTTCGTGTGATGTAAAAGCCGTTTCCAGAACCAAAGAGCTCATTTCTATGTTATTTGCTTCCTGAAACAAAATCTCAGTTGCAATTAATGTGGAAATGAGTGCTAAGCTCATTCTGCATGCAAAGGACATGGTCAACCACTAAGCCAGGATTTGCTAGCATGGCGCCTGGGGCACTCTTGAGGTCTTTATCTGGTGCCTGTGAAGTCTCTGAGACCCCTAACACACTGCCCCCTTGGGTCATAAGGTGGTGTAATGGTCACTGCCCAACCCCTTGCTTGGAAAGCTGAAGGAAGAAGTTGAGAAGAATGATGCCCCTTTCTTCTCTCAACTCTATGTGCTTTTCAAGCTCAGATGAATTCTATTCAGTCTGACTTTTGCCTAGATTCCTTGTAAATGCAATGAGTCTCTCTCTCTCTCTCTCTCTGTCTCTCTCTCTCTGGGAGGTGGGTGGTTTTTATCAAAGGAAGAGGCAGTGAAATGACCAGATGGGGTGGCACTCACAAATACAAATGGGCCCACCAGCATTTTAAAAAAATGGCACCCACTGCATTGAGTTATGTTGGAAACAACAAATGTTCTCCTCCCAATTCTCTACTCACCTAGAATCCCAGTGGTTTCAAGGCCGCCAAACTGCTGCATGGCCACAATAGCTTTGGTGAGCTCTTCCTGTGTCTGCAGTTTTCCTGTGATGGGGTCTGGAGGGGGCAGATAGCCGAATTTTGTCAGCCAATCCTGTTAAAACCAAAAAAGGGAGAAGGTTAGGAAAAGAAAGAAATGATTCAATACATCAAAGGGTCTATTTAGTTCCATCTCACCTAGTCTCTCTGTCTCTCTCTCTCTCACACACACACACACTCTTACATGTTTACACTTGGCTTCCACATTGAATGCCGCATCCCTCGTTAACAAATGGATGTGTCAGAACAGATCTATGTACATTACTTTAAGTAATGGAATCTGATGACCTTCATGCATCCCGGAGCTGACATTTAATTTTCCTAACCAGCTACAAAACACTTTTGATTACATAGACGAGCAGTTATAGGAAACTCGGGGTTGCACTTTCATCTTGTCACTAAAGGGGTCCATGTGCGTCTCGGTGATATAACAGCAAAGGGGAAGGTGATGTTCCCTTCTCCCACTCCTGCTCTGGGCAAGAGACAGGGGTCTTTCAGAAACCCAGTGAAGGAGAAGATCTACTGCAAAACTAATGATGCCTAATCCTGAAGGGGCCCCAGAAACCACTTCAGTCCACGTTGCTTAAAAAATTTGCTTTGAAAAGTTCATCATGCATGTATACAACATTTCCCTAAAAGGTAAAGGTAAAGGGACCCCTGACAATTAGATCCAGTCGTGACCGACTCTGGGGTTGCGGCGCTCATATCGCTTTATTGGCCGAGGGAGCCAGCGTACAGCTTCTGGGTCATGTGGCCAGCATGACTAAGCCGCTTCTGGCGAACCAGAGCAGCGCACAGAAACGCCGTTTACCTTCCTGCCTGAGTGGTACCTATTTATCTACTTGCACTTTGACTTGCTTTTGAACTGCTAGGTGGGCAGGAGCAGGGACCAAACAACAGGAGCTCACCCCGTCATGGGGATTCGAACCACCGACCTTCAGATCGGCAAGTCCTAGGCTCTGTGGTTTAACCCACAGCACCACCCGTGTCCCACATCATTTCCCTACTTCCTCCTAATTACTCAAAAAGGATAAGGCATAGGAAAGTTTTATTCACACCAGGGACTTTGACATGTGAAACAATCCAGTACAGCAATTTTAATCAAAGTATGAGACATTGTAGTTATATATAGTGGTACCTTGGTTTACGAACTTAATCCGTTCCAGAAGTCCGTTCTTAAACCGAAACTGTTCTTAAACCAAGGCGCGCTTTCCCTAATGAGGCCTGCCACCGCCGGTGCCCTTCCACTGTTCGGATTCCGTTCTTAGACTGAGGTAAAGTTTGCAAACCAGGACACTACTTCTGGTTTTGTGGAGTTCGTAAACTGAATCGTTCTTAAACAGGACTGTTCTTAAACCGAGGTACCGCTGTACAGTATATATACAGTGGTACCTCGGGTTACATACGCTTCAGGTTACAGACTCCGCTAACCCAGAAATATTACCTCAGGTCAAGAACTTTGCTTCAGGATGAGAACAGAAATCGTGCTCTGGAGGCGCGGCTGCAGCAGGAGGCCCCATTAGCTAAAGTGGTGCTTCAGGTTAAGAACAGGTTCAGGTTAAGAACAGACCTCCAGAACGAACTAAGTTCTTAACCTGATGTACCACTGTATATATCATACATTGTGATGATCTGTCATGGAACAACCCCATTGAAGAAGATAACAGTGGTTACCCAGACCTCATTGCTGGTTGCGAAGCCCCCCCCCCATGACAGTTCAGGCTTCAGGGCCCCCAAACATAGGCACCAACTCTATAGGGCTGAGGTGTTTTCAGCCCCACCCCAAGTCTTTTGGGATGGGACTGAGCCCTCCAAATCTGGAGGGGATGAAGGAAACAGAGTATGGCCTCTCCACCACTCACTCAGCTCCTTTATTGTGATGGGGTGGCCAGGACTGCCTGGAGAGTCCCGGGGTGTTTCACCGGGGGCGGGGGAGGGTCTCACAAGGTCTCCTGGAGCAGTGACGAAAGGATGGCCCCCCAAATGTAGGTCCGTCACAGCCGGTGTGGTGCACTTAAGAGAGTTGGATAACAGGTTACAAAAAACAAGCAAAACTGGAAAAACGCTCTGTGAAACCCAAACAGAGACAAAGGGCACATGCACACCCAAGGTTTACATTTTCTTTTCCCACAAAGGTGAACTCAATGCTACTTACAAAAACAAGCATTAAAAAGTGCAAAAGCAAGAGTAAAAACAACAGTAAATGTCACTCAAATGTGTGTGTGTGTGTGTGTGTGTGTGTGTGTGCAGAGTCAATTCCACCCAACCCAAAGATAAGCAGAAAATTAAGGTCCAATCACCTGGGTCAGGGGTCAGCAAATTTTTTCAGCAGGAGGCTAGTCCACTGTCCCTCGGACCTTGTGGGGTGCCGGACTATGTTTTGGAAAAAAATAATGAACGAATTCCTATGCCCCACAAATAACCCAGAGATGTATTTTAAATAAAAACACACATTCCACTCATGTAAAAACACGCTGATTCCTGGACTGTTCACGGGCTGGATTTAGAAGGCGATTGGGCTGGACCCAGCCCCCGGCCCTTAGTTTGCCTACCCATGACCTGGGTAAATCAGAAGGTTTTTGCTTGGCACCTAAAAATGAACAGTGATGAAGCCAGGCCCATCTTGCTTGGGAGAGAATTCCACAGATGGGGTGCCACTACTGAGAAGGCCCATTCTCATGTCACTGCCCTCCATACATCCCTTGGGAGGGGGCATATGGAGAATGGCTTCATATGACAACTACAGGGTCTGGGTTGGTTCCTGCGGGGAGAGGAGTTTTGAGATATTGGAGTTAATAACAGGGACAGGGGAACCCACCACCCTCTAGATCAGTGGTTTTCAACCTGTGTGTCCCCAGATGTTGTTGGACTACAACTCCCATCATCCCTGAGCTCTGGCCTTGCTAGCTAGGGGTGATGGGAGTTGTAGTCCAACAACATCTGGGGACCCACAGGTTGAGAAAGGCTGCTCTAGATCTTGTTGGAGTGCATCTCCTATCACCCCACTGGGTACGTTGGCTGGGGTTGATGGGTGCTAGAGTCTAACCTTCAAGTGGAGGGCTGCAGTTTCTGAACCACAGGCCAGTCTGGGACTGGTGGGACTTCTGCAACCACACCCATAGGTATCTGGCTTGCTTCAGCATGCCCACCTGAGATATTAGGGGTTGTGGATGTAATTGCTGTAGAGATACCTGTAGCATCAACAGTTTTGGTGAGAAGCTGAGGGATGATTACGGTGGGGTCGACTGCTCTTCCTGAATGGGCAAAAGCAGAGGCTTCCAGAAGAAGCGAGCCCTCGCTACTTAGCAAAAAAGGTTGATCAAATGTTTACTAGAGGATGAGGATGCTGGATCCGTGCAGCGCAATTCTAAGGGGGTGAAATGCACTCAATCATTTTGACAATTCACACCCATCTTCCATCTGCAGAGGAAACAGAAGGTTTGGTGGTGATTGGGGTGACAACGGTCATTGTTCTTGATCAGTACCTAAGAAGTATCGAAATATCGAGCTGTTAAGGTCTGCTATCAACCTGGGGCTTTTAACTGGGTCAATACCCCATTAAGTCCTCTCTCTTTGCAATGATTAATGTTGAGTGTCAACATCAGGTTAGAACAGCAGCGCTTGACCGCTTCATGTCTAAGTCACACCTCAGGAGACGGTTGGGACAGCACAGCAGAAAATTCTCAGGTTCTGAATTGTTCTGATGGGAAACTGGCCTCTGCACGTCTCCCTATCTTGGCTTCCCTTTTAGTATTTTGATCTCCGCCATCGATTGCAGCAATGCAGCAGTGTCTGGGGGGCTACTCTAACTGGTAGGGCAGAAGGCAAGGAGCACAGCAACAAGCGGAGCCAGAGACAATGACTGGAGGAGTCAACCAGCTACATCCCTCGCCCCTTCCCACCTGTTGAGTTCTACAAAGGCAATATTCGGACCAAGAAGGAGGAAGCCAATGGGCAGTTCCACACCCTAGTAAGGGCAGAGCCCCATTTACCCTAATGGACTACCCTCCAGTGCACCACTGAGATTCTGATGCAAAAGAGAGCATGAGATAGATTTCACTAGTGTTTAGTGATGTTCCTACAACTTCACTGTGAATCATGTTATATATGAAAGGAGACTCAAGAGTCTCCCATGGACTGCAAGAAGATCAAACCTATCCATTCTGAAGGAAATCAGCCCTGAGTGCTCACTGGAAGGACAGATCCTAAAGCTGAGGCTCCAATACTTTGGCCACCTCATGAGAAGAGATGACTCCCTGGAAAAGACCCTGATGTTGGGAAAGATTGAGGGCACAAGGAGAAGGGGACAACAGAGGATGAGATGGTTGGATGGTGTTCTCGAGGCTACCAGCATGAGTTTGACCAAGCTGCAGGAGGTGGTGGAGGACAGGGATGCCTGGCGTGCTCTGGTCCATGAGGTCATGGAGAGCTGGACACGACTATACAACAACAATATATTTTTTTTAAAAAGTTGCCACATGGCTCTGTCAACCATTGGCTGAGATGCTGTGATGCCACAGATTGTTCCAACTGCTTCTGGGAAACTGCAGTAAAACATAACTATGTGTGAGTGCCAGTTAGCACATGAAGAGGTTTGGACTGCAGGGTTAGATTCCTAGACTCAGATAGGTCTTCTCCAAGTGAAGCCTTCTCTTCCTCTTCCCTCTCTCTCTGCACCATGCAAGTGACCAAGGAAGATGTGCCTAAGCAAACTCCAAGCTTAGAGCATGTGTCTATTTCTGTATTTTCTACCCAAGAGTATTCTGCCTGTGTTTTCCTTGCTGCTGCTTAGATAAATGCATGAATCTGACCTTTGGGACATTTTGTAAGCAAAGCATTTTAAAACTTAGCTAACAGTGTGTGGTCTGTTGTTACAATTATAATGCCCTGTGCTCGATGATGTTGGGGGATTGAACCAGGGCCTTTCCCCACGCAAGGCAGACGCTCTAGCACTGACCCATGATCCTCACAAGAGATATCACAATTGGTATTGAAACTGTGAATCCCTTCCCATTTTATCGCTGGTAACATTCTTGTAAGTCTCCTTGTTTGTTT